TCGCTGAATGGCAGCACAGCCTTCTGGCTGAATGCAGTCACAGAGAGGATGTCATGAAATTAGTTTCTGTGGTCTGTCTAGCCAACATCGCAAGACATTCAACATCTCTAGCGCTAAGGCATACAACTGTATGAGTAATGGTCCCATTCTTCTATTTTCGAAATTTAGTTTCATCGTCTACAATGATTTTCAGTACAAAGTGAAAAGAAACTTATGTGATGATTGCAGACAACGGGAAATTATTAAATAGTGAACATAAGCTGTAAAGATTTTTTATCACAGAGAAACAGCAGAACATCATAATTCAAACACTCAGTACTTGCTTGGGCACACAACAGTTTTTCATAACAAGACAGTACAATACAAGATAGAAAATAGTTATGTGAGCTTTGAAAAGGAACTCATTGCTTTGTAGGATTTCACAACCACACAGTTCTTACAGCTTGACGTTAAGAGAGCTACTAGATTCAATTATTTTATATCAGCTGCAAGTATCTGTATTCCTTTGCCAGATACCCAGTGCTAACTTCTGCATAACTCTGATAGAAATGCGAACCACTTTAATGCAATTACACACACCTCAAATGAAAGCAACTGTAAGTTATGTAGCCCTGATGCAATTGTATCCAACGAAGTGGTAATATCCATAACGCATTTTATCAGTAAGATTTAAAAAAAAATCCTACTGTAGTATTTGCACCAACAGCTCTCATTTCTCACAGAAATTTGGAGACAGAACATTTTACCATCTAAGTGTAAACCTTTTTTCCCCCGCAAGGAGTATTTTCCTTATCAAGGTGGTTTTGATTTCTAAAAGTACAGGTACAAAAACAAATTGCAGAATCTGTGTGCCTACATTCTCTGTTGGCTTTAACTCAAGCCATGCAAATGTGATCAATGAGTCAGAGAGACTAGCTGCGTTATGCATGTAAACTGGTAACATCTAGTACAAGATGCAGTTTTAAACCAAGCTATCCCAAGTATGTTTGTATCCTGTGCTTCAAAAAATATCCAAAAACCCTTTTAACCTTCTGAAAGGACATAGCAACATTTCCAGTGGCACTGACCTTTAGACTGCACTTCATTTTAGTTCTGTCCTTCAGAGTTTCAGTGGCATATATTTACAAAAACAACAGATGTCTCAATCTATTCTGATTATATACAGACACATAGCAGATTGCAACACTACTCTTCTGTGAAACACATTATTTACACTAGCCATTCCTAGTAACTTGCTGCAATTCACTATCAGCATAAAAAAAAAAGTGAGCAATTCCTTGATTTAAGTAGCTAGTGACACAAAAACCAAAAAAATCAAGTATTTTATGGAAAGCAGAGGTTTCGCAAAGACATTACAAAAAAACCCACTACCTGTGTAGTGCTCGTTGCCTTGAGCAGCACAAGTTAACAACTGGGCCATTGACGAACCGACCGCTTTGGATGTACTTCCCAGGTCCTGAGCACATTTCTCAAGCTGTGAAAAATGGTAAAAGGACAAAATTCTTTGTTTAAGCTCAACTAAAACATACTTGTTTTTAAAACAGTGTTAAAAATGTCCTCATTCCACAAAAATCAAGATTTTACCTCAGCTACTGAACATACACATTGTTTCTCTGAAATCTGTTTAGCATGTTTTCCCTGTCCAGGGTGAAATAAATTAACATATTAGATAATATGAACAACTCCTTCATAGTTAGCAATGGAAATCAATACCTTCATTGGAGAAGAAGGGGGGTTTTGCAAAACAAAACATTTAACTTTCTAAGCCTACCAGGACTAGTAGCCTTAGAATTACTGAGTTCTCATCTTTGTCACTATGAAAAAGAAATTCTTTTTGACAAGAAAAGACTGAAATATTGCTGCTACTAAATTGTAATTTGTACAATACAGAAGGAGGCCCTACAGTCCGATGAGTAATTCTGCTACAGAACATGCTTCTGGTATCGTAGGAATATATACTCTTTTTAAGAGAATTAGCGTAAAATCCTATCAGTGTCATCATTATCCAAAGCCTCATGACTTGTTTTGCCTAATACTTAAAATTTTTAGCAGCTAACTTTGTTTGTTTGTTTTTAAATGAACATCCCTCCTCAATTACAGTTTCTCCTGGAAGAGGTTTTAACTGTCCATCCACAGCTGCCATCTTCGCATCTTGCAGTTCATTTTTGAGTGTCTGTACTGTATTCAAAGCAGAATCGATTTCCATCGGGCCACATGCTTCATGAGCCTATTCAGAAATCAAATCAATATCATTGTTAGCAGCTGTAAGCCACTATCAGCAATAGTTAAGGCTTCAGATATAATCCCCCCCTCTCAAATTACTGCTCTAATGACTTTAGAGGCCACTGTGGGCACTTTAAGCGTTACACATCATGGATTCCAAACTCCCACACAATATTCTTAGCTTGTGAATAGAATAACACACAGTTAAGAGCCACCATGGGAATGAGATATACTTCACTTCTGTACACAGACCTTTACACTAGGCAGTTGAGTTACTGAGAAAATAACTGCTGCAGTCTGGACTTCACCTTTGACAAACAGCCTAACTAGACATCATGACTGCAGTCACACTGAACCCTCTGATGTGGCAGCTCACAATCATCAGTACCTGAGCTGGAAATCATTAGCTCAGAAGTAGCCACCTATATGCTACAATCCTGGTTTTGGGCCGCAGTGTACACATGCAAAAAAGAGCAGACTTTCCACTGATACTTTTTTTTTTTTTTAAAGCCCATATATAGTTTAGAAATTTGTGTGAGAAACACAGAGCTTCTGCTTCCCTGAATTTTAGAGATGATAGCTCCAGTTCACAATCACAGCATTCACCACAGCAGTGCCATATCTAGGTTCTCCCTGGCTTGGCAGATGCATGAGATACGCTCCCCTTTCCCTGCTCTCCCTCAGGTGTTAACAGCAGCTCAGAGCTTTGATGTGCTGCACTGTGTATAGCCTCCTCCTGTCTTTCTTGTATGGAAAGGGTAGCACAAGCTTTTCCGTTTTCTTGGCACTTCTTCCTCCCCTTTCTATTGTGACACAGAAGCCACCTGGGAGTCCGAGCAAACTGTGCACAAAAAGCAACACTGAAGTGAACACTGCCTGGGTACGATCCATTCCTTTGGGGGAGACATAGTGGGCCAAACAGGAGTGAGCCTGTGACCACCATCCAAGCCACCTTGCTTTAGCTGGTTAAAACTAGTCTTTACCCACCTTCTGGGAGGCAGTTCGTAGCTCAGCTAAGCTGGTAGCAAGATTCTTCGCACACTGACTTAGCTGCATTGCTGCTGCTTGATCAGTCACAGTGGGGACTGCAGCTTTAGCAGATGCCACCATTTTACTTCCAGGCTGTTTGAAGAAGAGCAGTGAACACAATTGGTTTTACTAGCTCATTTGATTTAAAGAAGGCAATAATAATAATAATGACAACAAGAACAACAAACTGCTTCCTCCATTCACACACTCATGAGGTTTCTAGGTCTTCTGTAGTGACCATTTAATGCACTTCCCTGCTCCTTAACCATACACCTTCTAGATCCCAGCCTTTTACTCACATGCTGCAGCCAGACTAATTTGTGCTTCACTAGTACAATGACTTCATTGGTCTCAAGGTCTGCCTGAGGCCTTTGAGTATTCACGTAGACTACTTAAAAATGTTTAAATGTGCAGTTTTGCCATTCACCATCCATGTAGTCTGAGCAAGTCCAGGTGACACAGAGGGCAAATTTGTCTCCATGTTTCTAAATATTAAAGTCTGACAAAATTCTATAAATGGAAAACTGTAATTCAAGCAATGACTCTTCACAGGGTTTGCTGCTAATACAATTAAAATACTTTGCTAATTCTCACCATCACCATGGTACACACATTCAGCCAGAAAGGAGATGGATCATTTTAATGACTCCAGACGGAATCATATAGCAGAACACTCAAACAGAGTGAGAGCATTGTTTGTGATACCTCTACCTACATGGGGCCATAAAGGACCTGCTAACAACAGTCAATGAAAGGGTTCATTTCCATTCCACATTTAAGGCAGGACTAACTGGTACTAAGCAATGATCATGTCATTACATGGAGAATTGGTTTCTTCTGTTTGTTTCTTGCAATGTCAACAATAAACCCAATAGTTTGTTATCAATGCTCAATATATATATATTTTTTTAAAAAGATGTTTCAGAAGACGCACAGAGTCAAATTTTGTGTTTTGCTCAAAACTTCAATCAAGATCCATTATGCATGCAGGGTAGTATCTGAAAAAACATGGTAATATTTCCTTTTATTTGTGAAGAATTCTGGAGCTTGTTGCTGCAACACTAACTTTACTTTCACTAAGAAATGTTACAACAGCATCTCACATATCCAGACTTCTGCTTAGAAAGATGCTGAATTTTCTCCATCTTGTTCTTCTTTCCCAGAAGGCAAGTGCCACAGCAATGACTGTTTCTTCTCCATACACTTTCATTTTCTTGCTACTTTTATCCTCAATTTTGGCAGTCTTCACTCCACAGATTCAACATACTTCAGCCATCTGACCTGAGTAACTAAATTCTCTTTAGCTATGGCACTCAGTCAGTGATGAACTTCTTTACATGGTTCTTAACAGTTTACTGCTTATTTATCACAAATGAAAACATACAGCACTAAAAAAATGCTTTTTGCTCTGACAGAATCTACTACAGTGACTTGATTCACTTCACCTGAAGGAAATTCTGGCTGGAATTTATTAAAGCAAGCTGGGCACTGAGGTCTTCTGCCTGAGCTTGACTTCCTCTTACACCCTGCACCAACTGAGGAATGTGGTCTGCAACATTCTGTAATAAACAAAGGGAGAAGATTTTAGTAAGATAAATAAAAACTCCAAACCCTCTGACACTAAAGCAAGCCCTCTCCCCACCCGTCTTAAAGACAACCTATAACATTCACAGGTACAATACTCTTGTGCTTTCACAGAATTTGTTTAGGATTCCATGGAACTGAATTAATACATGATAGGATTTTTCAGAGACATTCTACTTTTACTTAAGACACGTTTGATCCTACAAGACAATCTAAGATTTTTCTGCAAAATTATGTATACAAAGTATTTTTAATTACTTCCTTTGCATGTTCAAGTGCCAGCAGTGGAGGCTACAGATTTTTCAAGACAATGTCTTGCTTTCAAAATAACAGTCTTTTACACACAAGCACCTCAGCCTACTCTTCCTTTATTTCTAACAAACTTTATAGTATGGCTGGAGCATTCTAAAGTGTGTATTGCTAAAACTTGATGCCTGGACTCCCTAGATTCATGCTCCTTGTCCATCCTTTTCACAATAACACCTATTTCAGAAGTGCAATACTAATTTTTTCCCCCCCAAGAAAGTAAAAATGTAGGTATCGGATCTTTTTTGCTATCCAGTAAATCATCATCAAGAACAAATCAGAATGACCTGTAAACAATACAGTGATTCAGCTTTTTTCTTCTTCATACTGAAATAGCAGCTGCCTATAACACAATCTTGAGATGTACTTGAACTATCTTGTTCAATTCCAACATTTCTTAGCAATACTACCATCAAAAGAAATAACTGCTGAATGTTAATGTGGCTTTTAACGAAGCCTTCTTTAATGGTTTTGTTCTCATTCTCCACATAACTGCTGTTCCATCCAGAAAGGAACCCCCTTCTGCATTCTATTGTCTTTTTCAATTTTTTGTTCAAATGTAATTTCTTTAAAAACCCTGAAGCAACATTAGTCAGAGCTAGAAGTTAAGCTGCCAAATGTAGCTCAAACACAAAAGAGAACAGTTTTTCACCAGACTCTAAATTCTAGCTGGGAACTATATAAATGTGCTTGACTTCAATCATACCTTGAAATCTAAGGTCTTGGTAGGTTTAACTTCAGGCTAGGAATCCCGTTAACCCCATAGTAAGGTCTATAACTTATATTTTTACAGTGACATTTAAGGCCCCGCTTGCTTGCAGGCTGAAGATCAGAATAGCAGGATCAGTGTTTTTAGTTATGTAACCAATTACATAACCCACACATTAAATAAGGATTTAACTCAATTCTAGTACAAATCACTATCACTGTCCATCCTTCGTTGTGGAAAATTCAGAAGTTACCTTAATTCCATAGTTACCTTAATTCCATAGAGAGATTTTGACAATCATAGAGCTAAGTCACCTGCTGAAGACCACATTCATGCACTGAATGCATGGCCAAGACTTCTTGCCCGTGTACAAATTTCTGAGCAACTGCACCCCACCACCCAGTGCTTCTAGCATAGCTCTGCATATATACTGCTGCTGACTGATTTACAACAAAACTTTTACTTGAAGCACTTGCTTCAGGTGAATTGGTTGTTACTCAACAGATACATGCTAAGGTATATAAGCCTGTCCATCCTTTCTAATAAGGTGTTTGCAGGGGTATTTGTAACAGGCAAGTACTACATGGCACTTACAGTAGCTCAGCTTTCCAACTCTCTCCACACAGTAATGCATAGAAACTACAGATAACACAATAAATAAGGGTTCTCCAGAGTCCATACAGATGAATGGGGGTTGTGTTGATTTTGGTTGTGGTTTTTTAAAATCTTATTTTGAAATTGTACCAGTATTATTACAGAAGGTGATCTTCAGTTCCCCATAAAGCAGAGTTCAAGAGTTTTGTCAGTGGGTCATGATATGTTTACCTTACAGCTCTGCACAAGCTGCTGGTGGGCTGCTGTGTTCTTATTTGAGACAGCTGCATTCTGAGAAGCTGCAATTGTCTGAGTAGCAGCAGCTGCGGCTTGTTTCGCTGCAATCTTTGGAGAAAAAGAAACTGAGTTAAACCAGTGGAAAAATCTGAATAATTCAGAGGATTAAGTATATATTATAGGCAACTTTGACAGTAACAACTTTGACAGACTAATACATTATATCCCTTGATGTTTGATTTGCCTTCAGGAAACTCAGGCTTGCTCTTCTCTCCAGATTAAAAGGAGATGGAGAACAGTGTTCAGCTCAAACTTGCCAAAAAAGAAAAAGGTGGAACTAGAAGGATTCTAAACTCTTACTCCTTCATAGCTTAGGTTGCAATATGACCAAAACAAGCCAATTACAGAGAGCAGAAATGGTCTCATCAATTAACTCCTTACAAAGGCGGTGAGAGAAAACAGGCTAAGTACATATAGCGCTTCACATGGCTAACTACATTAAGACCTCTGACCAAAGACTCAAAGGAGCCTACTTCTACTGAGAGTGCTCTACGGCAAAAGACGCTAAAACAATGCAAAGACACAAAATACTCATATTACTGAGTCTAAAAGCACTGAGAAGACCTTCTTCAAATATCTAGGAGTCTTATCATCACCCTCTCCCTATTACAAAACTAAAAATTCAACAATTTATCCAAGGTATTCCAACAGGCTGTACAATACTTTCATTTAACTGGCCCACTAAATACAACCAAGCATGAAATTAATATATGTTAAATGAGCAAAACAAAAGAAGTCCATTCTATAAAGCTTTTTTGTATGCTGTTAGAAAATTGAGACATCAGCCTTTATTTCCCAAAATACTCTTAATTTTTAGTTCTAGCCAGATACAGTAATTTAAATGCACTTCTGGAACACTGTTACCTACTTAGATCTCCTTGTTTGTCTAATCTCATTGCACTTGAATCAGACTTCTGTAAAACCACAGCTAGGAATTATGAAAGGCTTCTTGTTTTAATCTGTTTTTTCTAGGTTTTAGCTGAGAATGGGAAGATCAAACCTTGCCTACAAGACAAACTTCAGAGATATTTTATCTTTAGTGCAGAGTAAATTGCCTTTCTCCCCCCATTGGCTGTCCTACCAGCTATGGTATCTCTTTTCACTTTTGTTTCTTCTGCTTTGATTTTTTGAATAATTTATCGTTTTTATTGGATATGGTGAAATTCAATATAACTTTGTACGGAAATTTACACAAAACTCTGGCAGATATGCTAGTCAAGTCACCAAAAGATATTGCGTGTAAATGACAGATCATACAGATAAATTAAAACACTATAATAAAGTAGTTTCAGCTCAGCTGTTTGAAAACTCATCTGTTCTAATTTTATAACTAAGCCACCGTCAAATACCTTCTAAGTCAAATTCTTACACCAGCTTACTATGTCAGTGATAAAAGTTGCTCAGTTTTCTGAGATTATGGTATCATATGCTGGCATCTCTAATTCCAAGCTTTGTACTCTCGAACTGAGTCTACAGTGCTATCATTCTAAGCTTAACACTCTTCCCAAAATATGCATTTCTACTTGCTTGAAATTATCTGCAGATTCTAATTATCAAAACTGAGTAAACTGAAAAGTCAACAACATCTACTTTCCAACCTCTAATCTGTTGACAATTTTCTTCTTGATGGCATTCTGTGCAGCAGCATTTGTAGCAACCCGCAGTCCCTCTGCTGCTTCTCTCAGACGCTGCTGCTGATCCTCATTTTCAGGATTGGCTGCAGCTCCCTGCACAAAATTTCAGAGCAAAACACATTAGCCTCAGTAAAAATTCCTGGTGAAAACGTAGATGAAGACAAAGGCTTTAGTTTCAGACAGTGTCTGCTATATCTGCCTTAATTTTTCTTATCTTAGACAAAGTTAGAAGAACATTAAAATGTTACAAGACTTTGAAACAGAAAATTTATTGCTAGTGCAAGGTTGTTACTGTATACGGTAGGTACTTTGAGGAAGGGAGGTCAACATTTGCTTCATCTACTACTTCAGGTGCTGGGGAAAAAGCCTTTGTAAACTGCTTCCACTATGATCTGTAATAACGCACTTTGTCTGTATGAATGTAGGTTTAAAAAAAAAAAAAAAGTTTTACAATTTCCAATTCAGTATGCCTTTCAGTAACTGCAGTCCAAACCTTGAGATTTAACACAGTAGGCTTTCTCCATTTGAAGTCTGAGAAAGTACTGGAAAGTCAAGGCTATGCTCTGTGGCCAGGCATACAGGCCTTCTAGAGCCCTAGCAGAATGGCTGGCCCTGATCTTTAAAAATCATTTAAGTGCAGGATCTGGGAAACAATTCAAAGAACATATTCCTCCCTAGTGGATTTAAATAGGTTTCTTTAAATAGGTTTCTAGAACACAAAGTGAAGAAAAGGTTAGATATTTGCCTCTCTTTTGAGAAGGCAGGGTTTGGGGGGAACAAAACAGGCAAGATTCCCCAGGTGGAAGAAACTGTTCCCAAGACAGAGGCAGAGTTCCTTGTTAATGGCTTTTGTAAGAGACATTCGTAAAGAGATTGCTATGGGTTTGTTGTTCCACTCGTATTGGTAGACTGGCACAAGACTTTGCATCACAGTGGTTATGTCTGGTGATAACTGCCCTTGATGGCTTCAGTCATGACCACCCTGCACACAGGTGAGCAAAGCAGTGCAAGAAGGGTTTTTAAAACCAAAAAAACCAGGTAACTAATAAATTGCTTTTTCTGAATGTACCTAGGATAAGCCATTAAATGCAGGACATTGACAAGGTAAGAAAAACCACCTCTACTATCAGCCAGATCCAATCTCTAACAGCCCACATACCATCTCTTCTTTGCGTATAAGCATACAATTTTAAGCTCACAGTTAGTTCATTTTCCTGGTACCTTTGCAGCTTCAACCATGCGGGCTGTAGAATCTGCCAGAAGCTTTGCAGCAGCCAGAAGCTTCTTAGAGTTGTCCATGTCGATTTCTGCTTCGGCATCTGACCTCATAGCATTGACGAGATCAGAAGTGGCTTGAGCCAGCACCCTAGCCTGCCGTACCATTTCACCTGTGGTATACAATTATATTTTTACTTTCCTTCTCTCTGCATTTCATTTTTTTGGTTTCAAAAGCCATCTCAAGCAGATGAAAATAAAGTTACATTTGCTGAAGTATTCTTTTGACTTGAAAATGATATTCAAGTAGTTCATAACTTAGAAGTTCCATAAACAAAATCTTGGATTGCAACGTAAATGTAGGAATACACTACAGCAGAAATTAAAAAAAGAAAAAAAAAAAAGCAGTATTTGCATTCTAGATAGCAAGACACATACAAAAAAAATCAATACTTTAAGGCAATTTTGAATCTACAGTTCAGGGAAAGCCCTGTCCCAGTGAAGACTAATAATTTTGCTTTCAAATTACAGCCAAGATTTCACTACTTTAATAAAAATTACCCATCTTTCACTTATTCTTCTTTTGAGAAAATTATTTTAGGGAATTATCTTCTGTCTAGTATAAACTAAATTAAGACCTCTGTCAGAAGAGAGTCAGCAGCAATTAGCTGGTTTTGGCCAAAAATAAGGTGTTTATTTAAGATACTGGAGTCATGTTCTGGTAATGGTGAAGAACAGAGATGGAATTGCAATGCTTCTGAAGTGGATACATGCCCTTTCTAGAACAGATTCATTTGGTCACTAAAACATACACTTGAACTCCTTCATAACAGATTTAAAGCCATAAAGCCTTTGGCTTTCTTTAGCTTATCAAAACAAGTAAGACACATTCGGGTCTAAGGCCTCATTCTTTCCAAACACTCTGTAAAAAAATCACGGGAAAGAAAATCAAAGCAGCATTTGCCTTCTGCATGAAGGTGACTTGTGGTCTTCAGAATTAAATGCCTTCTTACCAGGCTCCTTTGGTCAGGCACAGGAAAAAAAACATAAAGTTTTCTAGCTGTTATCAACTATTTCCCAGCATGCAATATTGCAACTGCAATTTTTACCAATAATGGCTAACTCAGCTCCCAGTCTAAATAATCTACTTGAAAAAGATCCCTTTAAATACACTTTCTTACAGTATTAAGCCAGTAAATCAAAGAGAAAGAATAACTTGCTTGGGCAACAATACTGAAGTCATAGCCGGAATCCCTTTGCTGGTAAAATTGCAACTGCAGGAGTGCAATAGTAAGTTGGAAACACCGACTGGAATCTGAATGCCTCGTACTAATATGGCACAACAAGGTATTTGACTGTGAACAGAAAATAAATGCTATCCAAGATCATCTCTTTCACTGCATCCTTCTGCACAGAAACTGAATGGTAAGTGACAGTTAAACATAAAGCTCGACATGCTTTCTTGTGCACATCTACAGTAGTTCAATTCTTTAGGGTACCTACAGAGCACCAGAAAACTCTTTCCACAGTTTTAAAGTGGAAGATTAAGAGTGGTTTAGCAAACATGCCTGTGCATCTTTTACAAAATTTAATCACTTAGATTTCTCGTAAAGAAGATTCTAGGGTCAAAACACAGTTTCACTAATTGCTTCCCTGCACCTATTCCTCTAGAAGAGTGCTGCACAGCTAAAATGACAGTTCCTTAAAAAGAGAAACATCTGAAAGTTTTACCTCTTAAAAGTAACAGATAAGAGGACTCTACAAGAAAAGACTGGTTTGTTCATATCAACTGTTACTTGAACATAACTGTGACTGAAATATTTACTTAACTGGCCCTGTGTTTATACAACATGAAAGAAAGGATCAAAACCACACTATTCACCATAAATGCTTTCAAAAACTGATTCCATTTTCAACTTCCTATGACTTGTCTTGATTACAAGTTGATGCTGCCCTATCATGGTGTTCTACTTGATAACATTTAGAATTATTGAAATTTCACAATTCGAAATAATTTAATGGTTCTTTACTAAAAATTTATATTGGATCGGTTAAATGCTAGGCATTTCAAGTTTTGGTTGGTTCTAGAAGCTGTATGTTTTAGAAATATCATAAGCAGCAGCAGAAGTAATTTTCAAAGCCTCCAACAAAATCTAAGCATAATAAAATAAATCACTGTGAAGCATTCGCTCAGGTACCCGTCTTCATATTTGGAGACAAGAAATTGCTACGTGATTCTGCAAAGTGAAGCAGTGCTAGAAAACAGACAAAATACTACAGTGATCCTTTAGCATGCTATTGATTGCTGTTGCAGAATATGCATTCTATCTAGCACACAGCTACATGCATTTTGCTGATAGAATATTCTGGGTTGAATGACTCGCCATTGCGACAGCACTAGCCTAGAAGCACAGTACACTTCAGAGGTGGTGTTTTACTTCTATTATTTGAAATGGGCACATCTCTGAATCATGGAAAGCTACTGTCCATTAGAGAAACTTACCAGCATCTCCCATCGAACTGAAAATACTCTCTGTGACACACATGATGGTATCCGTAGCCTGGTCATAGCGTCCAATGGGCTCTCCCCTGCTCGCAAACTGGCGGACATGCTGCAGGAGGTCATTCAGGGCTTGGCTGACAATGCTGGCAGCTGCACTGACCTGCTTCAGTAACTCAGTGTCATCTGTGGCAGCCTGGCAGGCCCTTACACAGTTCTCCACTGAACGGTCTACCAGTTTCCCTGCCTCGATCAGCTGTTCCTGACACACTGGAGAGCTGATGGTGGGACTCACAACCTGCACAAGGAAAGGACAGAAAGCATTCAGAAAAGGCTTACTTGCAAATTTCCTAACTACTAACAAGTGAAACATCTACTACATTAGTTTTTAACCTTTAACTTACCTGTTTTCTCTAGACAGAAAACCCTCAAAGTGAGTATTTAAATAGGAAGCTTCAGACATCTAGATTAGGAATCTGGGCTCTACAAATAATTAATTTAATCTCAATTTAGATTCTGAGAATGGAGGCCTCCGCTTTGTTTCATGCTTCTTCAGCAGCTGCTGAACTAAACAAACAGTAGACAGTGGTTCTGGAGGGCAGGCAGGGGCCAAACTCCTCCAGAGTAACTGTGTCCACTGGCACACTTCTGTGCCCTGGAATTCCAAATACAAAGAAATTTTAATTGGAATTGGTCTTGTAAAGCCTTCTTATTACCAGCCTTTTGTTTGTTTGTTTAATTAGAAGTAGTGCTTGGCACAAGCCAAACAATGTTCTACTTCTGGAGCCACAAGACAAGTAATAAACCCTGTAATCTACAGATTAGAAACTATCTTCCCCCATTTTGTTCAGGCATATCCACACAGCTTTTAGCGACAGGAAAACTGGGCGTATCTTATGAGAAAAACAGGATGCCACTGGGTGTCTTATGCCATACTGAAGAAATTCACAGAGTAAGAACATCAAGTCCAAACATAGCAAATTCATACATATGCAGTACAAAAAGCCCTTGCAGCCAGAGAAAGAAGAAAATTGAATACCTAATATTGGCTATTGATTTTAATACAAACCTTCTGAATGTTTCACAACAGTTGAATCCCCATCTCTGTGTGAAAGCTGGTACTGCAGACTCCAAAAGCAGAATCCAAGTAAGAAATGCAAACTATTTCATTTTTAAAATTAAATGAGTATTTTATTTAAAGACAAAAAAGGCTGCACAATGTTTAATGCTCCAATTACAGACTTCAGAATTCAAGGTCTGATCTCAACTCTTGTGATTTGCTTAGACTGAAAATCAGTACTTGGCCAAAAGCAATGGATCTATTAAAACAATTGGGCTACTGTAAATTAGCGCAAATATATTTAAAATCAATGATCACCAACTCAATTTTATTTTCAGCAAGAATACCAACTTTCAATTGCTTAGCTTTAGACCAGGTGAACTCATCCTAATTCTAGGCTTTATTAGAAAACTTGCACAGTCCCCCAGGCAAGCTGTGCTTCTTGAACTAATACTTTTTACTTTTTTATTTTATCAATATTAGTAATTCATCAGATGGGCTCTGTTATCTGTGGAACCTTCTCTGGAGATTACAGCAACAACTCAAATCCTCTGAGCTTCTGATTGCCACCTATGGGTGACAATTTATTAACCAACAACTTTGATATTGCGTAAGTCTAGAGCTATGACATTAACACGGCATATTGCCTGAGACCGCTGGAAACACATAGAAGTATAAACTCAAAATGATGCCTTCCACCTCACGAACGTTGCTAGCCTCACCTTCGCACAAGCCACAAGCTGGGAAGTAGACAGTGCACACTGTGTAGCAGCAGCGATGACCCTGTTCTGCAGGACTGTATCCTCAGCGACCTGTGCCACATTCTTGGCCTTCAGCACTAACATGGCAGCAGCATTTGCAACAGCTTTGGCCAGACTCATCAGAACATCCTGGTAAAATAAAGGGAAAACTCAGTCTTATGAACAAAAAAGATAATACTAAATTCAAGTACTTAATTGTGCTTAACAGTAATGACAACTGCCATTCCATTTTTGAAAATGCCATTTCCAACCACAAGATTTTCTTGTCCATGATGTAAATATAGGCCTACAAATTATTGCTCCACAGCAGAACTCAAAACAGGTCTTAATTCCAGAACATTTTTCCCTCGTACAAAAAGAATGTAGATAATTCAGAAATCTCAAAATTAAAACACACGCATGTGTTAACTCCTGCAATGAAAAAGTTCAGAAATTCTCTTCCTGTTTCCTCACTTCAAATGCTACATTCCATGTACTTCAGTTTTTCAGTGGGATGGAGTCTTCCTAATGCCTGTACTGTTAAAACGACCTGGCTTTCCTGTAAAAGGATCATGCAGATACTATTATGCATAATTTTAACTTCACAGCAAAATTAAAACTTTGGATTTCAAAAACTAAGAACACTGGCTTTCATTTTGTTTTTAGGCTATGAAGGGACAATAAACCATCCCTCTCCTTACCCACCTTCTCCAACACTCCATAGCACTTACCAGAATGTTTAGGTTTTTTCCCCTTACCCAAGATAGAGAGAGCTGCAATACATACTCAGCTAGGAATACAAATGAGAACTCTGATGAAACTTGCAAACAGATTTACTAGTAGCTCAAGGAAAATGGCCTGTAAGTTACATTAGCAGACATCTTGCACACAGTGCATTCCAGAGGTCTCTCTGTTGCTGGAAATTACTTCCCCCTGGTTCTGGTGCAAACCTGTTCTTGGCATTGAGCAACAAAATCCAGACATGTCTTTAACAGAATATTTAAGAACAATGGTTTTAAACTGCTAATAGCTAACACTGTTATTAAGTAATACAGGCACTTTAATTCTTAAAGGAATTATGTTTGTAATACAATAATTTTCTTCTACTCGGTTTACCAAAAGACTGTGTAAACTTTTGGGTTACATGCATATGTACAGGCACAGCAAACAGTTACGTGAAAACAACTATAAGAAAAATAAATACTTGTTATTTATTAATAAACACTCATTCAGTCTTTATAAATACATGGCATAATAGGTCATCAGCTTGGAAAGACGGTCAAATACAGGGAAGGCCAAGGATTGAAGTTGTCTGTGTGCATGTGAAAGTTTTAATACCCCTACGGCATTCAGAACAATTGATTAAGACTACGCATGTACCCCTGGAAAACTCAATTATAATTGCATCGTACACAGTGTACTTAGTGAAGATAGGCAGAGCTTTTAAAAATAAGTTGTTTGTTGTTCTTTATTTTCTGCATCTGCCTTGGCACTGTGCGATATAGCTTACACTCTGCTGCAAGGGAAGCAAATGAAAACTGTGATTCAAACATTATCAAGCAACATGTCAGGAATTTTAGAGATCAACAGGTCATAGGGTATCTCAAATCAGCAAATCTCTGAAATTCCATGACAAATTTTCCAGCTGTAAAATGGAATGACAGTTCCACATTCTACAGGAAAGCTGTAAAATGTATTATCCATGCAACATTAAGGTCCTGAAAGTCACCATAAAAGAAGCCAGTGATGAACATAGTGGTGAAGGTAGAAAGTATACTAGAATTTGAAAAGCAAAAATCTGACTGGTATGCAAATAGCATGAGCCATGCTCACTGAAGTGAGTACAGTGCCAACAGCTTCCCATGAAGCAAGAAAGTATCTGTACGTTGCACAGAATGAAGTAGGAGGTCCTATGAAATCAGCACTCTGTGATTGTGTAATTAAAAATAATTTTATAATGGATTAACCTCAGTTAGCATTGAGAAACTTCAAACCTAACATTTCCTAACTGTGCTTTGGGAAGCCCGGTTTTATGCAGTGGTGTCCTCACCAGAAAGCTGAACAGTTCTGACAGTAACAAGTAACTCCCTCATTACCTGGAACCTTTCATCTGTTTCATTCTCTCCAATTTGTTTCAGTAGCTCCCCACTTGCTTGCCCAATGCTTCCAGCTGCAGTCAAAACTGTCTGTCGAGGCTGAAAAAAAATATAACGGAGAAATAAGTTAATTCAAAGAAAATGAGCTTTAACTGAATTTTAGATTTTCTCAAGGAACTTCTGCATTAGTGTGCAACCAATATGTCTGAAAAAATTACACAACAAATACTTTGGTAAAAATCTTTACTTTTCCACATGCACAACTGCACATCCATATTTCAGGAGTTTCATCTGAAGTGCTCCCAGAGAATGTGTAAAAAATTTTGAAGAGCTTGAATAGACATCGTTGTAGTAACTCCAAGGATCATTAAGGATGGACAATCAATATGTCAACTGATCTGAAACATCAGAAGACCTCAGTTCTTCAAAACATAAATACCCGAAGAGACGAGATCTAAGGCAAACTGGCTGCCAACTCCAACTCATAACACACTGATCAAGATAGGCTATCCTGTTCACTCCTACTCTCATTTCTAGAAAACTACAACGGAGGAATGAAATTCTCATTTCATATGTCAAAGCAGACAAAGATAGCAAATAAAAAAGTAATGAATTAGTATATCTCCATTTCCTATTAAACTGAGTCACAGCACTGCTTGAAATTTGTTTCTAAAAGAGAATACAGTAGCCAGATAAATTAACCACTTCTTACACAAATCAGTTAACCACTGCATACAACACAGAACATTCTAATATCAAGCTGCAAGACTTAAGGCGTAAAGACGGAAAGAGATGAAGGAATAAGAAATAGACGTTTTTGCACAGGGGACATTATGTGGCACTGAGCAGGTGAGGCTTAGAAGCTACGTCTCAAAAAAGCCAAAGCCATGCACTTGAAAAAGGTAACCTGAGAAGTTTCCATCTACTCACCTCTCCTGAAGTAGGTTGCACAGCCTTCAGCAAGTCTGAGACAGCACTGGCCAATGTTCTAGCAGCTTTCAGCAGGTCTTCTCCACTTCCAACTTCATCATCCATGAGAGCAGCAAGGAGTTTCACACCTTTAGACATCTCAGTGAGGTTGGAAGAGATGGTTGTAATTGCACATCCCACAGCAGTGTAATCAGTGTCAACTGGGTCCCCTGTAGAGCAAACGTGTTTTTTTCACTATCAGAATGTGTTAAGTGGTTAAAAGGGAAAAAAAAATCAGCTACCACAAGCTACTGGTGAGAGACTACAGAAACATTTCAAGATAGCCACGCAATGCCTACTACGCAATTTCGTTGTCACTTTAAAAAAAATAAAGACTGCTATAATGTTCCCCATTTCTACATTTCTTCTTCTACAAGAATTGGTAATAGAATTTCTCCTCATTCAATGCAATTTTCTGTGAAGTTCACAGTTTCAGCTATCAGGATCCAAGGTAACACGGTACTGGCCCCTTTAAACCACTCATAGATCCTTCAGCTTGTAATTTGCTGAAGAAAAAGCCACCGTCAATAAAGAAAAAATCTCTAACAACTGTCAGATCAAAAATGCTTTTTTTGCAGTAATGTTGCAAACACCCTCTACCTTACTCTGCTGAATAAGCAAGCTACATTTTATCTTTATTAATGGTCATACCTTTAGCATGTGAGAGGAATGGAAGATACAAAAATTGTGTTGGGAGGGACAGAAAGCTTGTTCCACACGTCAATTAATTTAGCTATTGGAGTATTTTGGAAAAAAAACCCCAAACTTTCTCCAGCTGCCCCATACTCAGTCCCTATGTTACTTGAATTAGACCGATAAACACCTAAGAGACTGCAAGGAAATCCTTCCCTTTGAGATTTACCTGCTGTAAGGTTAACAACAGATGCAGTTCCTGCAGTGATCGCATCAACCTGAGAGTGTATTTCATGTTTTGATTCATCAACCTTGTTCTGAACCCATACTCTTGATGCCTGGAGAGCAATAACAGAAATAAGAATTAAGGATTGCTGTAAAGTTCTGTAGGAGGAGATAATATGTAAATCTCTTGCTCCTTCATGAGTCTTTAAAATGAAACAACAGGGCAACCATCAAGCCCTTAAAGTGAAATATATGAAAGCAAGCATTTTCTTTTGCTGAATCATTCACTACAGAATTGCCACCACATTTCAACAGCTGCCTTAAGGTAAATGCCATGCACAAACGCATCCAAGAAGGCTAAACACTTGACTGACAGCCCCTGACAAGCAACAGTATCTTGATCTGTCCTCCTGCCCTGATCTGGATCAGGAATGACAGAATCATATTGTGTTCTTATTTTTCAAGTGTCTGGGAGGCAGTCATTCCCGCCATAAACATCGCCTGTAATTTGCATTTAATTGCACACGTGCACATGAAAGAAACAGGATTCCAGACACAGTTATGCAAGAAAGCCTGCTACGTCTCATCGCAGAAGACTGATCAGAGTGAGGTGGAACACTGTGCGTGAATTTGTTAAGGAGAGCACAAAATTTTTATCTCATTTGAAAAGCTTCAGCAACACCACGTTAGATCCAGGGACAATGACTCATCTGACCTGTAAACACCCCAAGGCATTATGACCCATTTCTGTAAGGGATCAGAAAAACTCACCATGTCCTGCCCTAGAGGTGGCAGGTTATCAACTTCGCTGAGGTCGGCTTGCGCCTGTTGAACAGCATGCATACTGGTATTGATAGTCCCCATCAGGGCCTGCTGGGCCGAGGTCTGAAAGGCAAAACAAGGCTGTGTGCCATGTTCCAAATGGCACTTCAAGCAGATGTTACATATGCATGAAAAGACTGAGTGACAACAATCCAACAACCACAACAGGCCGTTTCCGATAGCTAGCTTTTCCCTGGTGCAATGGAGAAAGCAAAGCTCTCTAGCACTCCTCTCACAGTCCTGTTTCTGCCTATGCCATTTTACATTCCTCTGTACTTGCACACATTTATAAAATGCCGAACTTCTCAGATCAAACAATGTCCAACAAAAAAACACCAAGCTGTCTTACTGACTTGCATTCTAGGAACATGAAAACTGAATTTGCTTCTAGGATATCATTATTAATTTCCTGGAAGAGCCTACTAATGTAATCAAGGAAGATTCTAAAACTAATTTGCCATCAATATGCATAAGATAACAGAAAACAGCAGAGATTTAGGCAGAGCAAGATGGCCATCTATATTGGGTGTCTGTCGGAAGATTTTGGCTCCAGGTGGAGCCTCTATGAGAGGAGGCCAGGGGCTGCCCCATGCTGGGTACAGTTGGTTCCAGAGAGCTCCAACAGACCCACCACAGGACACAGCTGAGCCCAGCAGCCAAGCTGGTGGCACCTCTGGGAAAACATCATTAAGAAAAGGCAAAACACCACATGGCAATGAGTGGTTAAGAGAAAAAAAGTTCAAGAAACAGCCCCACAAACACCAATGTCTGAGAAGAATGGGGAGGAAGTGCTCCAGGCAGCAGAGCAGAAATTCCCCCGCAGCCCATAGGAGAGATGACAGCAGAGGAGGTATTTCCCTGCAGCCTGTGCAGAGGGCCGTGCCAGAGCAGAGATCCACCCTGCAGCTCACCAAGGAGCCCGCATTGCCGCAGGTAGATATCTCCCTGAAAGAAACTACAGCCTACGGAGAGCCCACACTGGAGCCAGGTCCTGACAGAAACCGCTGCTGGAGCAGGCTGTCCTAACAGGAACTGCCACTCACAGGGGACCCATGCTGGAGCCAGTTTATCCTGAAGGACTGCAGCCCATAGGAAGGACCCATGCCGGAGCTGGGGAAAAGTGTGAGGAGGAATGAGAAGCAGGGAGGGGCTGTTATAAACTGACCACTTGGGAGCAGGAAGTAGAATAGTCAGAAATGGAGGAGTGAAGTTCAGTCCGAGTAAAAAAGGGGGTGGTGGGAAGGTGTTTTAGTTTTTGTCTGTCTCTCACCATCCAACTGTATTTTAATTGACAATAAATTAAATTAATTTTCCACAAGTTGAGTGTTTTGGCCATGTAGGTAAATGGTAATCGCCTTGTCTTTATGTCAACCTATGTTGAGATAAAGCTTTTTTAATCTTATTTTCTACCCCTACACCTTGTTGAGGAGCAGGAGTGAAAGAGCACCTGGGTGGGCATTTGGCAATCAGCCAAGGCCAATTCACTACCCATACTAAGTTCTGGTGGCGTGTCATGATCTTAACCATTGATTATATTGTCTACAGCCTGTTTAGGCCTTTTGATAGTCATTTAATTTAAATGAGAAAACTCAGCATCAGCTTTAAGCCTGCTAAAAAAAAAATAAATCTAAATTGGTGGGCTAGTGACAAGCTAAATGTAAGCTTTTTTCTTAAAATTGCTTACTTTTGCCAGTCTTCAAGCCTTTTTTTCTGACCCCTGAATACTAGTTTAACTACTTAGAAGTAAAGAGAAGGCCGGAAGAGCTGGCTTTAAGAAAAGTGAAGAAATAAGTCAAAACATGATACCCTAAACAGGGTACGCTCTAAGCTTCTGTTCAGTAGGACAGCCAGGAAGCCACACTCGCTATCTCAAGTATAACATGCTATTTCTGACTATTTGCAGCACAGACAAGTTTTAAATGCAAAAAAAAAAAAAAGTTTCAAATACAAAAAAAGGAGTTTCCTCACAAGTGGGGGCATATGTCCTCTATGCATCTGACCAATTGTGACTTGTTGCTGGGGCGAAGGCATGATGCCAATGTTGAAAGTCTCTGGGCCACTGGACCCTGAACGCATAACAGCTGGTAGTGCCACAGAGCCATGTTCCACCTTCCCTGTTCGGTTGAACTGCTGTTGCAAGATGGTAGATCTAAAAAAAAAAAAAAAACCAACAAAAAAACACCAAACAAAGAAACACACCCAAAACCAAAAAACCAAAACCAACCAACCAAAAACACAAAAAAGAAAAATCCAACACAGAGAGAATTAGTTAGCTCCTGTGAATCAAATCCTGAAATATATTCTTCCTTCAAAATTTTAAATTGCATTTCACAACATATGAGAAGCTGGAATTTACAGTCTTTTTTCCTAACCATTTTCTAGCACATTAGAAAAAAATCTAGGGCTTTTGGCAGATCACATATTAACAGCACTAACGAGCAGGCACTATGGAAAGAAGGCAACGTGCAGTTTTGGTATACGTCATATAATGGCTTTACCCCTCTAAGATGCACGGCAAGCATAACCAGAACAAGGTTTATGGCATAACAACTACTTTGTTTCAGTTGTATCAGAGGCTGATCAATAGAAAATCAAAGCCTGAACCCTGTGGATGACTTTTGCAAGCAATCCCTAGATTTTGGATAGAAGCTAACATTCTTTCTTCTGTCTTTATACACACATGCACACACAGTACTTTCTAATAATCTGGAAGCCTATCAGATAATGGGCTGGGAGGCAGGACGCTTTCAAGAATAATGAAGTTACTGTCATCCATGGTCATGAACCACTTTGCCAGATACATTGCTTGTATTTAAATATGGTTCCAGCCTTAACAGCTACAAGCGTTGACAGGAATTCTGGCTTTAACAACAACAACAATCTGCTGGGGAAAAAAATAATTTCAATTGTGAACACTCTTGTTTTCACCTATTACAAGTTTTGGGCTTCTCTGCAAAATACTTAGCTAACACTACATTCTGGAAGTGATTTAGAAAAGTCAACGGCAAAAGAAAGCACATCTGAACATGTGTGATCTGTCAAAAGTTGAAATTTCACATAAGACCATGTGAAATATCTAACAAGTCTATCTCCTATAAACTGTATGCTTAACAATAAATCAAACAGACTTTTCACATACACGGGGCTGACACTGCCATCCTTAAAAGTTCCAAGAGGAGACCTCATTGGCTCATTAGAGCTTATAATGTCACAAACCTATTTCTATTCCTTCTCTGCAAATAAAGATTTAATATTCCTTTTCAAGAGTACAGCCAGCTCTACAGTTCTGCTTTTTTGCTATATTAAGTTACTCTCCCAGTAGAGCCTGATGTACCACTACCAAAACCTTACCTTTACCCACATCACCTATGACTGGTTTGTCTAAAGTGGTTTGGTGAAATAAATCAGCTCTGTTCATGACATAGTGTAAAACTCAACTGACAGGAGTCAAATTTACTGGAAACCATGGGCCTGGCAGACCCAGGCAACTAAAGCCTTGTAAATCCTAGGTGTTTGCATGAAGATCAAAAATCTAATATGATATTTTCCGCTCTGCATCACTACTCCCCCACCAGCATTTTACTAACTTACAGCCTGAGTTCCTTTGTTCAAGGGTCAAGTTACCACAAACTGACACCATTGCTGGTTGCCTTAACCAACAATTTTAAGACAAATACCTGCTCCTCAATCCTCAAATGAAGCTAGCCTGCTGAATTGCCTGGGGATAGTATTTCCTTCTATTGAAATACCTTGTAGGAAATTATTCTTTAATAGAAATAACTATACCATTTCATTTGAAAAAAGCTGTCACAGTTAAAATTTGTCAATCTTAAATAAACAGCATTTCCTCCTGTTGTATACACTCACTTCTTAGGTGAAACAGACTCTTCCAACATGGTTGATTCCTCATCACCTTCAAGCCCAAATCTATCTTTACTTTGTTTCTGGAGGGGGGGAAAAGAAAAAAAAAAAGTTAAACAACATGTGCTGCTTTTTGCTTTCTCTCCACAATTTCCTTGCCATTTATCAGGAATCTAGCCAAATTATTTGCAGAGTCTTGTCCAGTGCTAGGCACCACACTTTTTGGCAGTGCATAACAATCTAAGCTCCACCTCAGAAGAGGTGCCTTTCAGCATCTAACAGACCACATTCTAAGCCCTGGCAGATTAAGCGCATAAAGGAAAAAAGGCCTATTGGTGCCTTTTAGAACAAAGTGGTATAAAGAAAGTGCTGAGATACTGTCTTTTCTCACAGAAAAAAACAACATTCCGAGGACTGAGTGATATGCAACAACAGCAAATCCCAGCACAGACAGGACATGTACCAGCCCTTTTGCCATTCTCTTCTAACTCACGAACATCAGACTGACCCAGCTAACAAACTCAGCTATAAGCTGAGCATCCTGAAATGCTATTATACAGTGCTACCTACCACTATGAAATACATATCTATAGGAAAGATGACAAACGTAATGCTGTATCCAAGTTATTTTACCATAGTTACTTCAAACTTCTGGACAGTCTGCACATCTGATTTTTTGAGGCAGTTTTTTAGAGCGGTACAAGTGGCATAAATATACACAAAGGGATTAAGTCTAAACCACTAGGAGCAACAGGAAACTACCAAAGTCATAAAGGCAGTGCCTTGTAAAACCACTTCACTTCTGCTTCTGTAGTACAAAGATACTGTCTGCTTTCCATCTTGTTATGTGATTTGTAGTCTGAAAAGATATATATATATATATAAAGTGTGTAAATAGAGAAACATCCACTATGACCTTGGGTACATTTAACGGGAACTCCTCACGCATATCCATACACAGCTCCCTCCAACTTTCACTGAAGAAGTTCTTACTACTACAGTTTTGAGTTTACTCATGCACTGAAACTGCCTGTTTCTAGTCAAGATTGTGCCTTACTTCCATATCCATGTGTAGTAAAAAAATGTATCTAGATTAAAAAAAGGTAGAAGTTGCTCAAGTCCAGGGTTCCCTGTCAACTGATTAATGACCTATCACTAAAACTGCAGGACAAGAGTGGTTGGGGGCTGAGGGTGGGAAGTGTTACATCAATAATACTTTAGCAGAAAAAAAGTGCCACCAATCCACATCAGAGCAAATAGGTTGGAATAGTCCAAAACACACCAAGAATTAACATTAGGCAACTGAGAGCAATAAACCATACTTTGAGGCATGCATCACAGAGAAAACTGCATGGTTCTCATACAGATCATGAAGCATCACCGGTGTTTATTACTTAACCTGTTCCTAATTCATTCATTTTAAAACTGGCTGTGTCAGCAGATTGTAAAGAAGAAATCAAAGGTCTGGAAGGGAGTAGAAATACACATCTGTATTCTATCAAGACGGAAAGGCAGCTTTCATTTGGCACTAGAAAGTAAAGCTACTTTTGAAACTTAAGAGCTAGAATCAAGTTCTAAACCTTCTATAGAAACCTGGAGTTTAAGATTTATTAAAGTTTCAAGACAGTCTAGCTTCTTCAAAAATAGGTTTTATCCCTCTCTCTGCACAACCAAGATGTAATTCTTTTCTTTACTGATCACAATATTTTTAAAGGAATATAACAATATTTTTTTAAGTTTTGCAAAAAAACTTTCTCAGCTTTGATGCATTATGTCTATAATGCATCAAATAATATAATATATATAACATATAATAAGAGGCTGCTGGACAACTATTGTGTAGTCCTTAATGTAGTTTTAAATGTTATTTCCACTGGATCATTTCTTCCTGCCTGATTCACCACTTTGGTTCATGGCTTAAAATCCATAGTTCAAGCTTTAAGCTCTTCTCTAGATACACACAGAGCCAGCAGTTCATCTTCCAGACAGAAAAAACAAAGCCCAGGCATGCTGTGCCTGGCCCATATTACCCCTATAGTTAACAGCCCTGATATTTTCCAGAAGCACTCACTTATATTAAACAGAAAGAGCTTATATTACTTAAAGGTAAAAATAAGTAACATCAAAACATAATATACAACATTTGACTTAATGAGAGAAAGAAAACTGCAGCTTGCACACATTTGAGCTTTTGCAGCGCTGTACAGTGATTTTTACTGCATTTTTACTACATGTCATCTTGATACTATACCTTCTTTAGGATGATATCAATGTAACCTGCAATTAACTGAGAGATCTGCTCTCCTTCAGTGGTCTGTACTGAGTAATAACTTTCCTGATATTCACCAAAATCCTGAAGGAAAAGAGGAAAAAAAAACCTCTTTGAAAATGGAAAGTAATAAATGAAGAAACAGTATCAAATATGAGTGAGAATTCAAATTTTAAAATTTTTTGTATACATATTTCATCATATCCAACAGTAAATGAAACTGCTTCAAGATTCTAAACCAGTCTATACAGGGGGTTTAGGAGTAGAAGGGAAGGATGATTTTTATTGCAGCTTAATCACAGACGTTTGATAAATTGAAATGCCAGAGGATCAAGAGATACTTAGTCTGACTTTATCAGACTCAGTCACCAAGGGACAGAGAAAAGTCTTTAGAATTTTATTCTAAAGCATAATTACCCATACAACTGGAAATTAGAGGCACATGATTAAAGTGAATGTAATTTTCTAGTCACTGCCTCTTGCTCTACCACTTTGAGCAACCTTTCAATTAAAAAACCATCACATTCATCTAAGTTCTTAAAAATCATAATTATCAAATGTATTAATGAACCACCTAGCTTTGTTTATGTTCATACCTTGCAAGTTACAAAGCACTTTATGAATGGCAAGCACCAAAAGGGTTTAACCACGTGTCAGTAATGATGCTTTCCTAACTGTTTCAGTGATTAACCACAGAATGGATTTAAACAGTGTTTTTTGAAAAGATTGCAATAGTACTTTTGGGGAACCAGTCTGTTCAGAAACATCAAAATACGGCTTGACCCTAGACACCCATATGGGCCAATTCATTAGTTTAGGACTCAGGGACTTTATTGCTAGAAAACTACAGATAGAACAAGTTACATTAAAGAAACTGTTTTGAGTATAAGTTCATCTTCCCTTCTCCCTCCCCCACAGATCTTCTGAATACACAAAAAGATTACCAGAGTGAAGCTTTTAGGTGAGGCAGCCCAGCGTTTCACAGTTGTCAGTGGCCATTCCTGCAACACTTCCTTGGTCTTCTCATCCACACGCATCACTGAGTCTTTGGTGACACCCAGCAAACGAGGAACCAGCTTGTTTTTGCCTTTCATTTTTTCCTATAACAAGGTGTGGAAGATTGTTTTTCATTCAAATGCAGCTTGCCATAGGAGGAAAGCAAAGCGTGATGGAATGTAGTGACAAAGGGAAGCAACTGACATGCAGATGAGGACAATTTAAAACTCCAGGCTCAGTTTGTCTGGTCACAGACAGTGATTTTCAAGCAATACATTAAGCAGCACTGGTCTTTACTGGATCTTTGCTATGCAGTTCAAAAGACAATCCCTCTTCTCCCTTCTCCAGGAAACAGAAGCATTTCAGGGATTGTGTTAACAAATCTTTGGAAGACACTTAAAAAAAAAAAAAAGCCATCCTAGACACAAGACTTCATCTGTAAAACCATATTAGAGAAGCTGAATGGGACAGTGGCATCAGGAGGACTGGGAAGTTAGATTGTACTCACAATTTCTCTATACAATTTCTGGAGAGGTAAAGGAAAGGAAGGACCACTAGGGCTGTCAATTAGGATCAGCCATAACTGGTCATGTATTTTGGATTTGAAATCTTAGTTATTTTCAATCCATGAGAACATCCTAACCCATGCAAGTATCACAAGGGGGCTGCCAGCTGATGCCTCCTTATTTGTTGGACATTCTGCCTCTTTAAGTTTTCCAAGGTTGCAGAGCATAGGCCCAAGCTAGCAATTGGCTACATAAAATCCATCACAAAATATAAACAAATCTGCATGTCCCATTCCCCTGAATTTATGCAGGCCGCAAAGAATCGGTTCCTATTTACATAGTAGGTCATTTGAAAAGACTTTGTAAAAGATCAAGTATTCTCTCCAGCAGAAGTTTCATGACATGCTTACTTGATTCAGTTACTGTTTGCTTTAAGCTATGACAAAATAAAGCAAGATACTAATGCAAAATACAAAGACATTTTTACCTTTTGCCATACGGGTCAGCTACATTGTGTTAACAAATCCCCACTGAATTAGCAGCCTGTTCTAAAGGTGCATGCTTGTTCATTTTAATATTTCAGTTACTGAAAAGTACACACCACAACTTCAGTATAGTTTCTAATACACAACTTAGCTGCTAGAGCGTTGAGACTCCTTTCACCATTAATGGTGCCTAACAAGACCTTTTCCCTTAAAGGAAGCAAGACAATTATTTCATAGGGTACTGTATTAATAGTATTCTCTGCACATTTTTCATTGTATTTTCACCTCCTATTAACCTCACTAGAATTTGTGGACGACTAAGTACTTTAGGAAAAGGCCAGCTACCTACAAAGATTCTGTACTGTAACTGCAGGAACCTAAGAATGAAAACATTTGCCTTGGTTTAGCCTCCTTTCTATTCTATGTTAGTGGTTACTGAATACTCGGGCACTAATGCTTCAGTCCTGTTTTCACAACAGAACATCTATATCTTCATACCAAATTGTTTCAACAGCCTTAAGATCACGACCTGTTTTACTCTAAGGACTAAGAGAAATTAATCATGCAGGTGATAAAGTTGTTCTTTAGATGTAGTTTTTCAGTATGCAATTCCTACTATCATTAAACTTTTAAACAAGGACAACTTATGAGTTCTTTGTGAATGTTTTTCTGAAGACAGTACTTCGATGGTAATAAAAAAACAAAAGAAGAAATGTCAATTCAAAGAAACTAAATAATGACAACTTTATTTCTGGAAGCAGCATGACAAGGATCTAAACTGAAATTAAAATACTGTCCACACTTTTTTCCAAATGCTGATTTCAAAAAGAAGGCTACAAGAACACCTTTGACCCTTGGCAGAATATGGTCAATATGGTCACCAAGATGTACATTACCTTAACAAGAAAAAATGACACTCCATAGGTCCGCAGGGAACGGGCTAGCTTCACATACTTCACTTTGGCTTCTATTTCAGTCATCTCACCACAGTTTTTGTGCTCCTGTAATGACAGTTCAGTATCACTTAGGCAGAAACAATGCTTTCTGGAAATAAACAAAAAAGTGTGTAGCTTTTATGTGTTTAAGGATGATTAGTTAATAATCATTACAACTAAAATATTTGAAAAAATACTGGCTAGAAATGTTATCAAGATTGTATCCCATAATTCCTCACACTGGAGAACATAAACAACCTGTACAAATGAAACACACTTCTTTCACCATCATCCATTCTACCTGTGCCTCACATCAAGCACACTTAAATGACTTCTGAAACAGTTTAAAATTCTAGGTATTGCTGCTGTTTGGCAGCATTAGGTTTCATACAATTAATGCCTCTTTACGCAACTTTAAAAAATCATTTGAAAGTCACAGCACCTGTATTTTGTTTCCAGGAACAGACTATTTATTCCTGCTTTCTGTCCAAAACTTCTGATTCATGAGAGCCTCACACCTCCTAATTGACCATTTCTCATTTCTTTCAGGTATTTCCAATGGGCTTTTTTTGCCAATTGCACTGTTATCCACATTTTTTTCATCACATAACAAGAATTTTACAGGTGAAGTAGTAATGATTTTTCTAAATAGTTAATCCTGAAATACTCATCTAGGTGTGTCTTGTAATTCAATTTCTATTTATTATTTAAACAATTTACTCATTAGTAAACTTTACTACCTATAAGTAATGACAGCAACCAATATTACCTATTCAAACTTCATCTCAGCATCTGTCCTCCTACCCCAGGTCATTCTGCTGAAAATCCTATCCCAATGTCCTGCTATTTAAACACTGCTTGTGGGATTCCCTATCACAACTCATCCCATCTTCCCCTCACATTCTTCTGAGCTGTTGCTTGCCACCTCTTTCATGATGACTTATGGCAATAGGGGGAGCACCAAGAACAGTGGAAACCCTTTCCTACTCCAGTTTAAGTTTCCATCTTGACACCATTCCACAGAGGAGCACTGGGAGGAGCAATTGCAACTCCAAAACCCCTTTTGCATCCCAAGGACATAAACTGATCATATCTGCCAAGTTCAGCACACCAGGATCCAGGCTCCCAAAAGCGCAAGGAGCCCACATGTAGCCACTGCAGACACCCCCCCAACCCTGGAGGTGGTCAAGGCCAGGCTGGATGAGGCTTTGAGCAACCTGGTCTAGTGGAGGGTGTCCTTGCCCATGGCAGGGGGGTTGGAACTTGATGATCTTTAAGGTCCTTTCCAACCCAAAACATTTTATGATTCTATGATTCTAATATTTGTCCAAAATCACCCGCCAAACTCAAGAATTTTATAACTTGAGGAAACAGCTGATTTTTTCAGAAAGACAGCTTGCTTATTCTGTCTTGCTGTTCTATCTTTGGCCAGCACCAGTGCCCTTACTAATGAACTTCTTGTCCATGCACTGAAGTATGTAATGATTGAAACTCAGATCATATTTGACATGGGCAAAAATCACATGCTATGAATAGTACGATGATGATGATACTCAGAAGTGAATTAATCTTTTTTTGCTTGAACTGCAACATCACCGCCACTAGCTAAAGGTATACAGAAAAGCATTACACATCCTCATCTACAGTGAAGTACTACAAGCTCCAGGTAGAACAGACTTACTGAGTTACAGAATTCCTAGACTGGGAGTGTAACAGACACAGGGAAGTATGCGACCTGTTCCTGCTCTTCAACTTGCCTCCCAATTTGAGATCACAGATCACAAGTATGCCCTTTCAGAAACTGTATGACTTGATCTCAGCTGTCAACCTCAGAATTTTTCAACTTGTATTGCCAAACTTGTATTTCAATAGGCACAGATATTTAGTGCATCTACAGTACTCAAATTCTGAGACCATTTCCAACAGTATTAGTACTTTTTATACTCAGCTGCTTCAGTCTTTTACAACTCTGTGATTCCCAGACACATCACTGAACTCAGACATTAGCTAGCAGAACTCCATATTACTTGAAGCTCAGGCTTGAATAATGAAAGCAAGAAATTAAAACTGGTTTTCCTAAATGTGCTTCTATTTTAGTACAAATACACATCCTTACATTTCAACACAACTGAGAAAAAGGTCTTAAGAGTACTGAATATTCACTCTCTCCCCTTCAACAAAGTACACTGTTTAACCATCAGTGAAGAAAAAAGGACCAGGACAATAAATCTGCTGAACAAAGACAACAAAAGGTGTCAGATTCTTTACACTTGATTTTCTGCTAGTTACGTAATTCAACTATACACAGATTATACACCTGTGAAAGCTCATACTTTTCTTACAAAGTAGTAAGTGAAACTACAATAGGTTTTTCAGCCTCACAATTACCTGAAATATTCTCTTTTCAGCCCCTCTTTGTTTGGTATATTCTTTTGGCAGGAATTCTTTTAGGCTAGGAAAAAAAAAAAAACAAATCAAAAATTCCATAGTTAATGGCACCTTCTTGAGGAAGGATGCTTTGCATGCTCCTTTATTGGCATAAAGTCCCCCAAGCTTCCTAAAATGGGCATAAAGTTCATATACAATGAAACAAAACTCTGGCTAAGCAGGGTGAGAGCAAGAGGCTACTTTGCATAATTAAGAAAAAACACTGTAGTTACATCCCCATGTAATACCTCTTCATGTTTTGAAAAATCATCAAAAGTAAATAACAGCTGGGACATTTTCCATTCTTAAACTGCCTGATGTTTCTCAGCAGCTCAGAGGGGTTCACATCTAGATCCAAATACACTCATTGCAATCTGGGGGAAGAAGGGGACATCAAAGCTGGAGCCAACTCTGTGTCTGAGTTCAGACACTGCTATTACTTCCCAGTAGCACTTGGATTTACTGACGTGCAGGACCGAGTTCTTCCTTTGTGTCTTCCAAGAAATGTTAGAACACTAATATTTTACTGAAAAACTGTAAAGCCATTTAAGTGGACACTTAATACCAGTCACTATCTCAAAAACTAAGTCATAAATAACCAGTCCTAATTGCTGTAGCACTCAAGATACTAAGGGTCTCAGAATATAAAGTAAGCCAGGCAAGTTCAGCCTCCATGACAGAATTTAGTCAGAAAGAATCTTTGAACACCTCACCTGTACCTCCTTGCTGTATAATAAAATAAACTGTTCATCTCAGCCAAACACCACCCCAACTTGAAGACATACCAACATCACACTTCAACAAACATCAGTTCTGTTCCAGATTGCACCTTCCCATCAACAGTCAACTCTGATGAAACTATGTCATATATTCAGCGGTTCATTCTCAGCCTGAAGAAACTTCCAATTCAAAAAAGTGGTTTCTAAGGATCCCCCCTGCTTTGGACTATTAAGAATCACAGGAAAAGTATGATTGGAGAATCTCCTCCTCATTTTGATTTATTCAGTAAGCAAGCAACACTATTAACACAGAAAGCTGGAACTACCTACTACCATGGAAAGTTACAGGTTTCAAGAAGGATAGATTTTTTTAAACAAGAGTGGCAAAAAATTTGCTCAACTGTTCTGTGGGGGTTTTGTTTTGTTTTTTTTGGGGGGATGTGTTTGTGGGTTGTTTTGTTTTAAACACAAAAGCCTACCATTGCAGACAACAAACAAAATAACTCAAAAGAGTACATCAGGTTTTTGTGCTTTCTTCAAAAATAGTATTTGGTAGTGAGATAATTAATTTTGTTCTTTCCATAAAGTTCTAACAATATAAATCAAAGTAAGAACAACTCCTTGCTAATCTTTCTTCCAGTGCTCTGGTAGTTACGTCTCACTAATAAATGATAATGAAATCACTTGTCTGGACTTATCTACATGACACATCACGGAGTAGGGAAGGCTAGAGAGCCAAATTAATTTTGTAGATAAGGACTTAATACAGCTTATTATCCTAAAAAGCTGGTGCCTTTATTTTGAAACAACTGGTGCTTTTATGAGAATTTCATAGGTTCAAACCAGTTCGGTTAAATTAACTTCCAAGGCAAATTAAAAAAAAAAATTAAAACAACCCACCCCAAACCTCAATTAAGCCCAGTTTCATTCTGAAAGTGGAGTTATATAGAAAAATAGTAATTATCAATGCACTTCCAATTGTCATCTTTTACTAACTGGAGTTAATTTTTTCAGCTATCCGTATGTAGATAAACTATCAAGACCATTACATTTTTAAGCATACCTACTTACTTTGTCAACTAATATATATTTTAAGATGACATTGCTGAGCAAACATTATTTAGAGCTTCTTAAGCAGCAAGAATTAAGAAAACAACTTTGCGCTTTGTCCTCTAAGCACCAGTTGGTGTACTCTTGCACACATAGCTGGCAGTTAGATTGGTTGCTTTGTCCTTGTATCACCTTCCATTATTTTTCAATCAACAGACAAGTAATCACCTCAGCTGAAAAGGTGAAAGGCTAGTTGTAATGAGTCTAAAATTACTTTAATGCTACCTTTAATCCAGATAGATTCTTTATGATGCAACAAACAACTGTTCCACTTTATTTAGCAGACTGTTTAATGGAGTTAGAAAAAACACCTGGAATATATTATAATTTAGCCTTCTTTAATCCCTTTAATTACCCATTATTACAATGGACAAATAACCCAGTTAAAACACATCTAACAGCAAGCAGTACTTATTTAATGTCATTTCCTGTGAGTTTGTTCCTACAGTTCTTTAAAAAAACTATACACGAATGCCAACATATTGTTTTTCATTAGCATAAAGGTATATTCAGTGTTCTTGAAAAAGACAGTTCAAGACAGTAAAACAGGCTAGATTAAAGAATTGAGCTTACTGGTCACCAAGTGTGCTTGGAAACAAAAAGTAGAGCGGGGCAGTTTTAGCTGCTCCTTTCCTATCTGCATATGAATAGTATGAGGGCTCTATTAGATATCCTTTCAGCAAATTTAAACACAACATACTTCTGTAGGTGTAATGCAAAACTTCAGTTGTATAGGGAAGGGCATGAAGAAGTACTATTCGCCATTTGGTAGTTTAAGAGCTTTCACAATTTACTTTGGCCTGAGCTTCAAGGAAACTGCAACAACCAAAGTGTTAATGAGATGCAGCAATAATCTTCATCTGTGCCAAGAATCATTTATCAATGACAAAAAAGGATACAAAAGATCTCTCTATATAGACATATTGCAGACATGGTAAACTAAACTAAGCTGCTTCAAAACAATGCTATGAAATACTAACACTATTCTGTTACATGCTGTTATCTGTATGAGCTGACAGATTCTCCTTAAAGGAATCCATAGCACGTTCAGTTTTCAGTGGTAAGTGGACACCTCTCAAATGTAATACTTGAAAAGAATCAATGTTCATCCACCAAAGAGTAGGAAATAGTTGGATGAAACTTTTAAAAAGCTGAAATCTTTTTAAGAAAAAAAACAAACTAAAAAGTTTTTCTGAAAAGACACGAGATACATTTTCAGAAAAAGAAAAACAAACCAGCATTTATCTATACTATTTATATATATTGTTCATAATGAGTCAGGAGTACTTGGCTTCTTTAGACTCACAAAACAAAAGCATGAGGTTTCACAAAAAGGCTGTCATGAAGGCTATGTACAGCCAAATGCATACAATACTACATCATAAACACACTTGAAATTAGAAGACAATTACTAGGGCCTTATGGCTCTGGAGCAGGCTCTTCTACAGAGTGCAAAAAGAGAGTTACTTCTAAATCAGAAATCCTTAATTTTATAAAACTGATTACACACCAGAACTGCAAGCATTATACTTAGTGATCTCCAAGGCTTGATCCTAATACAGTCAAAGCTCATTTAAATGAAAATAAAACAATAGTAGAGAAAGTTCCCTGCAGAAAATAACCACAAATTATTGCTTGGAAAAATTCTGGAATTCCATTTCTAAATTATTTCCACCAGAGTAATCTTCTCTTTCTAACATATGGTTCAGTTATTTATACTTTTAATTTCTATTAGGATAAAAAAAAAAAAAAGATAATGGATTTTATATGTGTGATGACTTTATTCTGTGATGGACTTCAAACTATCTAGCATTGCATACAAAGCAGAAATATCATCCAGCCACCTGTTTCAGTCCACCTTGAAACATCGTTACTATATGGGAGGTTAAAAAAGAAAAGAAAAAAAGAAATCTTCACACTGAAAAGACCAAGAACACCACCTAGAAAAATTTAAGCAACTGAACTCTGCACAGCAGTTTGCAAAAACTGATGGTGAAGTTTGTGGGGAATTATTGCTTTAAAAATTAAAATCAACAATTGCTGGGAACACCTAACCCTTGAAATCATTACCATGACACAACATTAAATTGTCATGAGGTAATACCTTAATGGTTTGCTGGAGGAATACTCTTGAGTGGAGGGAAAAGGGAAGAGTAAGCAGACAGTGGACAAATTCTGGAGAACGACTGTTGCACAACTGTTCTAGGGAATAAGACCGAGGTGTACGCTGAAGCTACTACACTCAGTCTCCATAATTCTCAGAGACACCAGTAGCTCTATGAGGAGAGTTTAATGGGCCAATCAGTAGCAGACAGACAGTCCAAAGAAAAGCTGGTAATTAATTGGAACTGAAGAATGTTTGTTCATGTAGTTCGTTTGCATAACCGAACTGTTACTTCAAGAAAATCTTTCAGAAGTGAAGTGTTTGAAACAACCAATGTTACAGCATTGCATGTTCCAAAGCAAGCCACCATTTTAAAGTGATTCCCTGAGATACAGCAAACCCCAGACCCAGGGTCACAAAGTATGAGGGTCATCACTGAGCACTTGGCCAGTGGAACAGGACAGAACCCAAATATGCACACACTGTTTTCTGCATTAAGGTATCTATGAGCCTCATATGTAGGCAAGGCTTGATGGACTGTTCGGTAAATCGCTTCCTTTTACCTTCCTACGATCCTCTCCTCAGACTCCAGCCCTTGGTTAATTCTACTGCAGGCAAACCAATCAGGAAATCAAAATCAGTAGGAAAATGGGACATCTAAATTTCAGCCCAACTAAACTTGCCTTGCTGATAGCAGTAAAGTAAGTATCACACTAAAGGTTAAAGGATGGGTCACTTGTAAGCAGGACTCCTGTCCACGTCTGAAACAAAGAGCACAATTCTACATCTCCATTCATACGATGCCATGAGAGGGTGAATCTGAACAACAGATCAAAGCCAAAGTTTGGAAAATTTAACCTCTACACACAGAACCATTAACTTTATTCAAATGACAAAGCATCTTTCCATTCACATACTTTCCCAGCAAATCAAATATCTGTGGTACAGACCGACGTATGCTTAATTCACACATTGCATTACCAAAGGCAGGCAGGAGTAGACTTCTAAGTAAGAAAAAAATCCCAGCTCTTCCCCATTACCAGGTTGCTGGGGAATCCCGCTGCATACTTAATTGGCACCCTGGGGGGAGCTGGCACCCTGCACTGCCTAATAAGCCACTGCCAAAGGTCCCCTCAACAGTTGGCATTGCTGATTTGTCCAACAGGGCTCCTTCCACAGGGAGACTGCTACAGAAAACACACTGAATTTGATTACCTCTGCTTGGAGTACTAAAATGCATTTAGTCTGTGACAACTCAACATTAGTTACACTTGAGGTGACCCAAATTTAGAAGTTAGAAGTGTTTACTCTAAAAATCCAGGTTTATGTTTGTGTTCTACATGAGGTCCAAACTGGATCTGTGCTTGAAAGCCTCCAAACTCGCAGGCCTTCTCAAAGGAGACAGGGTGGGAACCATTCAGAATGTCGTCACGAGCCTATAGGAGGTAAGCAAAGATATGTCAGGGACATCCAAAATAACTATTACATCTCTGAAATTCCTCGAAAGCTCAATCATGGCCCAAGAATCCAGCAACACCTTTTCTGTCTGAATGTCTTCTTCCATTCTGGATGTGTTTATGACTAATAAAATAAACAAAGGGATAGGATAGATTATTTTATGATTAATATCTACGGAGACTTATCCAAACAACGACTGTAACAACTTTGATCAAAAAAAGAGGACTTGACACCTGCTTCCTGCCATCTGTGTATACAAAATTCAACATAACACATACACTTACACACATATATTTGTGGGTGTACACATACATATAAAAGCTTTTATCTTACCACCTTGTAATAGCAGCGAAAACGATTTGCATAACTAGTAAGTAAAAACCAGATTACTACTATAGAAATGGCAACAGGAGAAGGCAAACAGCATTTTCCTTCTTTTTGTTTCAATGTAGTGGTCATAGAAGATGATGGATGCTCTGGCAACAGAAGGCTCATCTATCCACAGACAACAGAACAACAAGGCAGTACCAACACATACTGCCAGCAGACTGAAAGAAATATCTAAGTGGCAGGAGAACAGCTCAGCGTGATACAGTCTAAAATACTTGAAAAATGTAACGCAGTCTTACAAGCAATGTCATCTTTATCTTTTTCTCAGAGTTTTAAAATGTAATTTAGAGGAATCCCATTTGAATCAGCTGCATGATTAACAACTGAACATTCCATTAAACTTCCAATGGTTTTTTTTTTTACTTAAAAAAAAAAAACCAACAAACTTTAACAAAGAGTTTAAAAGCCTTCTTTTTTTTCAGACTGTATTACAGGCAACTGCACTGGAGCCTTCAGTTAAACAGTATCTTCTGCATAAAACTCTTAGCTTTGCTAAATTATGTATAGTACCTCTAACAGTTTGGGGATCCTGCCTAGGTGGGTTCCCACCGTGTTATATGATAAGATCCATTTCGAACAGAAAGCCTGTCTGCCTTGCGTGCTGTCTGGGTTGAAGACTGGAAAGGGAGTGCAGAAGCAGCATGCTCACTGATCAGGCACAACAGAAAGAGATGAGAAGCAGAAAGCTGGTTGCAAGACAGACCTGAGTTTCCACATTATAGACAAAACATCACTGACAGAAGAGAATGGGGAGAAGAACTAAAAAGAACTTAACAAGACTTCAGACATTAATTAATTTTAAGGAAACCAGGATAAGGACATAAAAGTCAGTGGATTTTTGGCTGAGTGCCCTTTATTGGGTTGAAAGTATTTGATTAAAAAGAACCAAAGCCTCTGTACTATCACATGATCTTGGAGGGATAGACAAAAAATTAAAATCAAAGCAAGTCCAGAACTGGAATTCTAGAAGATGGAGTACTTCAGCAACAACATTTTTCTAATTAACCTACACAGGTTTCCTCAGATGAGGTAGAACTCATACTTCCGGTCTACATACTGTACCTGAACATAAAGCAAATTAAGCTGAACAGGATCTCTTGAATCCACATTCTGATCTGAATAAAAGAACTTTCGTCTCAACAGTAGCGTTTCATTTTCATCGACTCCTTGTTCTCTAAACGTTCGGCTGTGATCTAGCCAATTTACTGTAATAGAAACACAGACATGTGCATTGTTAAATACACAGTGCTGCCAGGGTTAATAATGGTTGTGAAAATCATGTGATAACTGGCGTTTCCACTGGAGGGGGAAACTCCTCAAAAAACGTTGGTTTAATTTCTGTTTTACTCAGTGTTGAAGGTTGCTACAAATGAGAATTGAAGAACAGCACTACTGAGTAACAAGAACTTACTGCAGCATAAAACACCATTAATATTGTTGAAGAAACAACTATGGTAACATTTTAATACTAAATTTAGATCTTCAAAGCTTCATTGCAAAATTACTTTAGTTTACCATATCTTCCCCCTAAACCCAATTGTTCTGTTTACTTTTCTTATCCCTGAATACAATTTTACAACATCTTCCTGCCAGTCACAGTTAAGCTTAGTGCCTCAATGTAAACCAGAAAAAGTGGTTATTGTGACTTTACATACAAAACAAATCAAATACTGTCTTAGTTCTTTGGCAAACTACATTTACACTTAAAATTGATACCTTCAAGGACAAAACTACCTTCTAATGGCTTTCAGTAGGCACCAACATTTAAATATCCAACTTTAATGAAGGGGAGATTATGGAAATAATCCTTCATACTTAAGTTACAACTCCCCTACCAAAAAACTAACAAAAAAACACTTCAAAAGATCTGCTAACTCTCAGAGCTAGAGGCAACAACTTGTCCACTTAATTGATTTAAAAAATACTCAGTAGCAGATGACATTATATATAAACAGATGCAAAATACAGGCAGGGATCAACTGAGACACGCTGAGGAATCTAAAAATGCATTCCTGTATGGTTTTCTTGCACTATACTGTGGAAAGATATTAATCAAAGAATTATCCTGGAATACACTACTCACAATCATCATCCGTATGAAGCTTTGCCTTCAGTTTTTCCATTTTTCTTTCGTCACGCAGCAATGTCCTATCTTTCTTAAGCGTTCCTGTACTCTCTTCTTTCTTCTCCTCAATGCCCTCCTGGATTAATGAATATTCCTCATAATTTGTTATTCCTGGAATTGTAAATAAATCCAGTGTTTGTAAAAAGATAAATGTAATACATTTTAGGATGGGTGAAATATTATTTTCCACATATTAACACACCAATGGTTAATTTCAAGTATAGTAAAGATATTGCAGATGAAATGCTAAAACACTGTATGGAGAAGGAGATCCCAAGAATAATCTACAACTTCTGCATTCAGGACATCTCTCTAATATCCAGCATTATCTGTCAAATACATCATTCCCTCTTCATATGTTGCATTTGCCACTTTCAGAAAGATATTAAGGGTTTTTTTGCTATCTACCAAGAGAAGCTGCCAGTTTAAAAACATGATGGAAGTTTAAATAGCCGTAAATTTCAGAATGGAGACATGCCATAGTGAATTTCCTTTCATGGATGCCTACAATAGCCTTCTGAGAACTGAATAATTTCAGTTTGCCCACAATGTGTAGAAGAAACATGGCAGAGCAGACTGAGGAATAAAAACTGCATGAAAGATATGATTTTTTTTTTTAGTTTTAAAACTCAACTCTTCCTATGAATTTTACATGAAACTGAATCAATAATCAGTTCACAACATTTAGCATATGTGCTAAGTTGCTCTCCTTTCTTTCTTCTACTTGTTTTTTTCCACTGTTTGTAAAGCATGTTTATGTTACACAGGAAAGCAAATTATATGTTCGCCTACATGACCACATTCACGAAAGTAAGTCAAACTAATTTTTTAAGTACATTAGTTACAGAACATTAGAATCCAGCACAGAAACACTGAAAGAAAATTGAAATAGATTAATTTAAATTTAGCTTAATTCACTTTCCAAGTAAATTAATCTAAATCAAATTAAGGCCACTTTAATTCTAAATAAAAATTAAGCATGGGTTTAAGATGATTTAAACTAATCCAAGTTGGATTCATGTTTATAGTTAAATACAAATCAGTTTTCTATGTTGGATGCATGTTTATAGTTAAATATGAACTAGTTTTCCAAATTGTCTCTATGTAGACAAATAAAAGGACAGACCATAACCAATATGACACATTTTTCACCAGCTGCTCTGGACAGCTTCCATATGTCATTTCACAAATGATATGGTACTGTGACCAACTCTTAATCACAACAACATAGAGCTCTAAAGTTTAGGTATATTTCAAGGTTAACAGTATTTATCTTTTATCCTATTAAAATTAAGTATAAACTTAGTTCTAATTCTCTACCACATAGCAGGAAAGCGTATGTAAACATAACACACAATAAAAAATTTATAACTGTACTGGCAAATAACTCTGTGCCTGCAAATGCTAAATATTGAAGTTTAAGACTACAGCTAACACTCTAGTGACTTTCATAAAACCTGGACAGATTTCAGAAAAGTGTTTGGTAAATGTTAACTGATAACAAATTCATTTTTTTTACATATGTGTGAATTTCTAGACATTAAATACATAACATCCTAAAAAATCCGATGCAAATATATCAGAAAAACAAATTCTTAAGTATGCGGGTCCCAAAATCTTACCTATCCTGCTGCAAATTGTAACCAGCAATTCACCAACTGTTTTAGAATCATCCACCATGACTGTTTTCACTGAACCATCCAGCATACGTATTTTCTGAGGTCTCTGTTTCTTTTTGTACTCCAGTATATCCTAGGGAGTAAACAATACCATTTCTAAATGCTTTTGGAAGCTGCCACAAGCCAACTCACTAACTTAGATACCTAACACAGGATCTCCTCCCCACCCAAAATCTGGATCTTTCCTTTGTTATAGTATAGGCAAACTTATTCATGTAACAAACTCGAAGTGACTACTTTTAGTTCTGTCAATGTAATTTTCAAGAACTTGTCCCATCTGGCAAGACCAAAACCTAGACAGGGCAGGACAGGCCAAAGTATCTGTGTGCTGCAAAAACTCGTTTAGCATTTACAGAAGAAAGCAATGCCTTCTGGTTGTAAGCAAGCTGGCCATAATGTGAGCAAATACAACCTCATCATCTTTCGTATGCAAGAAACTTACACTATAATGCAAGATCACCTCAAATACAAAGCTTATTACAAAACTTACTTTTTGTTTTTCTGTTAATCATTCAGTGAAGACCCAATTGGCCATAGTAGCTCACAGTCACAACCAGATGCAGGAAAAAACTAACTACTGAAGCACAGCAAGGAAGAGAAGTGGGACAATTTCACAAACATACTCGAGACCCTCCTGCCCCTCCAAATGCTAAGCATTCATTTTGCTACTTAGGAAACAAGTTTTCTAAAAATGTGTTGACGAAAGCAGCAACAGACTTGCATCATACCCCATTTCTCAGCATGTAATAATCCAGGGTTCTTCCAGCCTCCAGCCATATACCTTTTCGAGGATCTTCATCTGATAAAAACAATCCATAGTCAGAGGCTGTGGAACAGAAGAGACAGAGGCTCATTGGAAAAATATCAAACCTAATAAAGCCAACATGCTTTTATTCAAGGTTATTCAGCTTCAGGATTAAGTTTTCGTTATACTTACTTTCCATTCTTAATGACATTGGATATAATTTTTTTCTCTTTTTCAGAAAATATTTAGCTTGTAAGCAGATAACAGGGTAGGATCAGGCTTTACAGAAGACTTAAACTTAACTTGCTGCACCAAGCAAGAACATGTCATATCTATTGGGTAATTTGTATTATATTTGTCATTATTTCTCTTCAAGATGACCTTTTTTATATGCTCATAGGTCCTGCTTTGGAACTGACTAACCAAAAATACAAGCAGTTTGGGCTTAATCATAGTATACTATATCAAGCAGTACTTCTATTTAAAAAAATCTGGTTTGTTTTCAACCCTTCAGATAAAGATATGATTTTTTTTTTAGAGTTTTAAAACTCAACTCTTCCTATGGATTTTACATGAAACTGAATCAATAATCAGTTCACAACATTTAGCATATGTGCTAAGTTGATCTCCTTTCTTTCTTCTACTAAACTTTGGAATCTTTTTGGTAGATGCTTCAGGTTCAGGCATTTAAAACAAATATGAAGGTTCTAGAATTATATCCATAACAATGATCTCAGGAAAAACTTGCATCTATTGCAGGCTAAACACATGTCAATTGATACTTTCAGAATCACAAGTAAATGATAAAACTCTTATTGTCACAGCAGAACAAACCCAGGCTTAGGCTTCAAAGACTAAACTCCAGGCACACAAAAGGAAGGTCTGTGACTGTCAACTGCCCATCCAAAGCATCTCTTCTTGATAAACATTTGCATGAAGAATTGATACAGAGTACACTTCATTATCACAAACAGTGTAAACTACTGTTCATCAGCTGAGCCTGCTCTAATTGCAGTTCTAAGTTTAAGCCAAGAGCTTTTTTCCTACAAGCCAGCCACCTGCGTACACACCGCCTGTTACAACAGCTGGGTACTTTGTTACTTTCAGTCGTGTGTTTGGACCCTCTGATCAGAAAGTCAGGTAAAAATAGCTGTAACTTTTGGAAATTGTTTCATTTTTAAATGTCATACATAGCAACAATTTACATTTAAGAGCATTTACATTAAACACATTGTTACTTACACAACTATAAAAAAGAGCTTACACTTAATTGACATGTAAACGAAGCATAATTTCAAAAAAAAAGAATCCTTCCAAAAACAACTGAATAGGAAAAACTTTTCCTGTTGACCTCAGTTGAAAACTCCACTGAAAAGCCAAGTGATCCACACATACAGAGATGTTTATGACACAAATTCAGTACAAAATCAGTTATGTAAATTTTAGAATTTGCACCTATAAATAGGTTGTGACCTTTAGAAGCATACACAGCGCCTTGCGCAGAGCACAGAATTACCCAGGAAGCACAGACTGCTCTGATTCTCACTTCTAGGGGATGCACCCTAGTAATGAAGTAGTAGTAGCTGTGCAACTTACATGTTAATCATGGTCACCTTTGTGCCAGCATGCAAGCTTGTTGGAGAAGTGAAATCTGCATGGTTGACAGTCGTAATGCAGGACAACTACATTTTCGATTGTGGAGGAGATCAGTCTGTACTCCACCTCTCTGAGTCTTCTGAACTAACAGGCAAGCACTCACATTTTAACAGCCACAAAGAATGGGCAAGGATGTTAGTAACCTTATCTGTTCATAAAGTTGTTTGACATTCGTAATTGCACTGCAGTCAAATATAAAGAAAAAACCTACTGTATAATCTGAAGAGAGTTCCTAGTCTTTTCTATAAAGTTCACGATGTTCAGGGATATTTATTACTCAACCTCTCTGAATTCAACAGCTGTTCAAAACAGCTGCCTTGAGAGATCAGTATGGAAAAAATGCACAGCTTGTATCTGAAAAATTAAAGCTCTATAACTAGACTTCCTAAGGACTCCTGCAAAGGAAAAGTATAAGTAATAGTATTATTGTCCATTTCTAGTAAGTTTTTCTAGCTGTTCAGACAAGTTCACAACAGCTCTAAAGGTTGAGAGCCGTGCATAAAACTCAATAAGGAATCTTCTTTAGGAGTTACATTCCAGTGGCATTATATATAGTACAGTTCAAAATGATTTGCAGAATCTGAATTTTTTTACAACTTTTGACTACACGTAAACCAGAGCTGTTGTCCAAGTGAAGACATATTTCACAGTCTGCATTAATCTAATTTTCTCAATAGAGAACAGAGACAGTTAAGTTAAATTTTACTAATGCGTAGCAGCATTCCAAGTATGGTACACACAGCATGGTGATGCTTTTTCTTATTTACCAGTTTCAAGCAGTTCCCTTTGCACATTTTGAAGACATCCATTCATTCTTCCATAATTCACCTTGTCCCTCCCTTTGCTGAGGCACAAAATAAGCCTGCCCAGATATTCCTAGAAAGCATTGCCGCAAACACTGCTTTAAAAAGACAGTACCACAAAAATTGCTCTCCAAGTGGGGAAAAATCATCTTTCCGCTGAACAAGCAATTTACTTAAGAAGTCAAAGTTCTACAAAGAAGAATCCTTTGTAGAAAAAACTCCGTCAGGACAGAAGGAAGAAAAAGCAAGCCGCTACCTTCTGTCACTTAAAAATCAGTTTACACTTGGCACCTTTCACTCCAGAGCCTTATGATTCAAACAAAAAAACCTCAAACCCTGCAACCTGAAAAATAAATAGAGGAACAAAACAGGGTAAAAAAAAAGATGGGTCTATGTATATTTTCAGTTCAGCCAATGAATCGAGTAAGGACAAATGCAGGAACTCACCTTGCCCTGTTTGAGCCTCTGGCACTCGTTCACGAATAACTCTACAGGCATCATATACTGCAGTGGATGGTTCAAACTGCATCGTCTTCACTACATTGCATTGGCGGACACAGATCTTCAAGGAAAGAGCTACCATGGTGTCAAGTCACTTGCAGGTTCCAACTAAAGTACCTGAAAAAGCAGTAATGGCAGTATTGCTTGGAATTTTCTATTTAATGCTTTAATACACTCAACTTTCCATTAAGAAAAAATTAGTTCAGTAGAATTATATGTACTCAAACTATGTAAAGTCTCATTAGCACCATCAGGCTAGAAACTATCCAAACCACATAGTTTTCTTGGTATATCAGAAATTAATTTTCCAAAAACTTGTGTACACATACTTAAAATGTTGATACTTCCTCTGAGGTGTGTCAAAATGGTGCACAGGAAAACAACAGACTTATTTGGTATATTGCCAACGTATTTACTACTGACAGAAAATTATTTTTCTCTCACCACACTTTTTTATTAAACCATTTAGATTTGATGGTAACTAACAGCTTAGAAAAAACTACTTAAATGAAAGCAGGATTTTCTTAGTACATAACTTCTTTCTGAAGATTCTAAAGTGCGCAATCCTGTGTTGTGTTTTTTTGCAGGTCTCCACATAGATCTGCTAGATGTTTTTGTCCTGCTGCACAGCTACCCAGAGCTTCAAGAATGACCTATTTTTCATTTCAGTTCTTTTTCAGAAACTCCACTGAATTTGACAGCAATCATCTACAGAAACAGGAAGCTACAGATGCTTTTTGTTTTGTTTCATTTTGTAGATAGTCTGGGTTTTGTCTCAAGTGTCTTCCCTTGCTGTCATAACACTCCAAACCACTCTTCTATCATTAGACTTTCCACAGTGATCTCCAAGAACGCTTCAGAACTGAAGTCCTTTCTGCATAAACACAGAATCTACTAGAAATTCCAAATCCTTTCTGCATAAATCCACGTATGTGTATTTCAAAAAGGAGGATGTGAGATTCTGTGGACTACTGCCGCTAGTGATAATTTGAGCAGGACAAATGCCAGTAATTAAAAATAAATTTAAACCTGAGTTGTGCATCTTTTTACAGCCCAGACACTCAGTTCTGTTTTGCAAAAATCACTTTAAGGAATTGGAAAGAACCACCATTTACACTTCATCAATGCACTGAGCTCCTTTCTCCAAGGCACAAACAGCACACAAATAATTTCTCTCACAATAATATTTAGGAGCCTCTTTGGCTCCAAGATGTCACCCTCCCCCATATTTTAGTGGCAGCCCATCCATCTGCCATTCAAAAGCAAATAATCCTACTTCATATTTTTTAGTACTTCCACAACCATCGCTACCAGCATGAAATGTTAGGATATGATAAGACTATCTGACAAAGGACAAGGAGTGAATGAGAGAAAAAAACATACAAGAAACACTAAAGTACACACCTCAATGCCTTCCTAACCTATCCATGTCTGATACCAAAACAATCTGCATTTTGAAACAATAATTCTAGGCAGAGGTCTCATAAATAAATAAAAATCTCTCCCTACTACCAAATACTAGTTCCTAAAACCCATCCAAAAGGTCTTTGTTTCAGAACTAGTGATTCAGTACAGCAGCTGCACAAAATACATGCAAGAAAAACAACAAATCCCTGCAGTATTTCCAGAGATCCACCACAATGGGTTTCACTTTATCATTTATACATAAGCAAACCTCAGAGCATTACAAAACCAAAAATACACCAAGAAACCACAGATTGGAATGCTTTTACACCATCCAGAATAGTCTCAGGCAGAATAATTATATTAATGTGTACTTATGTGCACTGTTAAAAAAAAAAAAAGGTGCCACACTAAACAGCAGGGAAAGCAACAGATCAGCTTGGAAAACAGCCTGACAAAGTTGCTCAGAAGGCAGTTAACTCACAGGTGACCTCTGAAACCTGGCTGTCAGCTTCCAGAGGGGTAAGGTGAGCCACAGCTCCTGCTGCCTCCTCTGGTCAACATGCTAAAGCAGGGCCATTATAATGCGGCCCTCCAAACTCTCTCTCTCTCCCCTATTTTCTCCTTCTCTTAAAAAGGAGGAAATTATTATATGAATAATATAGTGAATAATATATTATTCATATTCATGTATTTAATAATATATTATTATATAAATAATATAGCAGTGAACAAATAAGTTCTAGAAAAAGCTTCCCTCTCCTCTTTGCTTTCTATTGCACTTGAAGGTAAGACTTGCAAGCCACACACATCACATCTTCAGACTTCACTTGATTACCTTGTCTATTAAAAGGCAGAATGTATACTAACCTTTTCCTATCAACTTTCCCATGAAAAAGCTGCAGTTTTAACTTCCAGAATGAATGACTTTGGTTAAAGGGAAACAATAAGTCAGTAAAAATATAAACACATTCAACAATCACCTTTAAAAAAAATAACTTGAGTAGAGACATTAAAAGAGGTCTCCTCTCTCCTGCTAACACACAAAGGAGTAATACAGACAACTGAATCTATTCTCTGACATCAAAGGAAAGTGAATATCATGCAGTTGCACAGGCACACTGCACTACCTTCTGAAAGATAGAACTAAACTTATTTTAAGATAGAAAACAGGATCCACTTGAAAAATCTTTGTGTGTAATGAAATTATTGACTGCTTTCTGGTATAGAATACTAGACAAGTGAAGGAACAGTCATAAATTAGCACATGACTTTAAAGTTTCATGCCATACAAACCCTGTATTACCAGCACTGACAGTACTGGATCTTGTGTAAGTTATGGTGATGTAATATGCTTCCTAAGTATAGCTGAATCTTTTAGTATTTCAGAAAATAACATTTTCTTTTAAGATGAAGGCTCACAATGTTATGGCATGAAAATAGATAGTTACCTGCAAACAGAAAAATCTACTTAATCTTTTAGTTAACCCTTTTATACATAACACTCAAAAATGGATTTTTTAAAAGGGCACTCACATCAAGGAACATCCAAATTCAGTCCAGTGTCTAATCTCCCTTCATGAATGGAAAAAAAGGGGGCAAAGAAAAGCCAAATCGTTGAGAGTAACCATGAAACTTTAACTGGAAAAATGAAAAATAAATTAAAATATTCTGGTTAAATTATTGTGATTTAGCAGTTTGTACTGTTGTTTTTACTACGTTAGCATAAATTTGGCAAACCAGAGCATTCAGATAAACTTGATCTCATCTGTGAGATCCAGAACAGAGTAAGTCAGAACCTGAAAGCAATTTAGCCAATACAGCTGTGCATCACACACTTGATAAAAGCAAGCAGAGGCCCCATTTCTTAAAATTTAGAGGAAAAAGAAAATATTTTAAAATATATTATGTAGTTTCTCATCTTGTTAATATTTTCACTTTGTGATCATGCACGACAGAAACCATAAAAATGAGTGTTGGAAGGAACCTCAAGAGGCAGCCTAGCCTAGTCCCTTCCATTGCAAAATGATGCATCCCATGGCTGTTCCTGACAGATGCTCATCTAATACATTCTGATAAAGCTCCACTGAAATGGAGTCCACAACATCCACAGGGAAGACGCTGAATTTTTACTTTTCTTTTCACTACATTTTGGGTAGTTCCCCTCTACCCACCCAAGCTTTCAACCTAGATCTTCTACTCTGCAAAAGAACATTTTTCCTCTGCCCTACAAAAAACAGACATGGCAAATTGATCCCCATCATCTTTAACACAATTTTACAAGCTGGGAACCTGTTACTGTGTCCTCCCAATGCTCTTCCTTTTTTTCAGGATCAAATTCAACTCCTTAAAGAAGGAAGGACCTAAACACATCAGTGGTCTGGTCTCCTTCAACTCAGTGCTCTTGGTTTCAGAGACACCAAAGGATGCTTTATTCGAAAAAGAGCTTATGAGAAGAACCCATGAGTTACCATCTTCCTCCAACACTGTGTTCTCAAACTTCAGAGAATGGTTTTCATCTGCCTTCTCCAAATTACCCTTAGGCTCTAAACCTCCCCACTTGGCTTTCAGTAATAATTGGGACAGGCAGTTTCCATCTCCTGGGTAACAGCCAAAATAGGACAGCTGGTTTTCCTCAAAAGAACTAAGAACTTGGCCATGAAAAAGGGCTGAGATCACAGAGAAAAACAAGGAAAAAATATCTTTGTGTTCCCTTTATCTTCTATACACTGATTCACACCATACTTAAATATATCTCTGTGCAGGTAGTAGACTCTTTATGCTCCCCAGTATCACTCAGCCTCTGGAATGGCTAACCAAAAGTCAAAGGGTTCCTGGAAATTAAGAGGATTTGGGAAGGAATGGTCTGTCTGGTACTAAGTCTAATGCTCTGTGAGCAATCAAGTAGGTAATTTCTAAATCAGACTGTGATCTGTGCTTGCAAGGCTGGAGACTGAAGAAATAAGTTATGGATCTGACAGGTTTAGCAGAGGTAGCAACAGCTCTGAGCTCTTAAAAACACACACTGATCATCAGTGAGAGAACCCAGTGCCTGCAGGTACGTATCTGGAGTTTCTACGTCAAGGCCTCAAGTTGAACCCCCACAGTGCCCAGGTTCTGGGAAATCCCAACAAAACAAGATTATCACACCAGTGGTTGACTCAAAATGAGCAGGCATCTGTATGCCCACAGAGATACCTTGCAAACAAAGCAAACAAGCAAAAATATTTCAAACATATAAAACCCAAGACATTGTCAAGTGCTGACAAGTAAGCTATAAGAATGAGGCAATACAAAGGCTCTTTAAAGTAACTTCAAGCTGGAAGAATGCCTGTCATTCCACCTGCAGATCAGCAAAAGAGTAAACACGGCAGCAACCAGCTCCTTTTCAGCTCCAGAAGTTAACAGTCCCTCCCACAGCTGCCAGTGTTTCTGTTTGCATAATCACTTTCTCAACCAATTCTGACACTTCTGTGTTGGCCATTGTGGTTTTGATGAATCTTTCCCTTAAAACTTCCCAGTTTTTGACAGAACTGGGTTATGGAGTGATTATACACAATTTTCCAGAACATCCAAGGCAATAGTACTCTCCAGCAGAGGAGCAGGAGCAATGTGTGGTAAGGAATGGTCACTGTCTCAGCTGGGTCACCACAGCCTCCGGTCACTGAACCTCGGGAC